ACTTTCTGCAGCTCAGCCTGCAGAGCTTTGTTCTTCTTTTCTTTTAAATGTTATAATCTGGGAGTCTGCTTTCTTTATGCTCAGTTCATTTTCCACTTTCGTGAAGAGTGCCATTTGTGGATAACGGGTAATTAGTCATCAAAAAAGTCACTTCTCTTGGACTGAAAGGATGATAAGGAGACGGCTACTACAAATACTGAGTTAGACAGGAAGTCTAAAATAAAAAGTCGAATTTTAGCAGGAATCCAAATCATACGTCATTGCACATTAATTCTACTGCAATGTAGAGCATATAATAAAATATTCACTTGTGCAGTCCTCAACAAAGTCCTTACAGGCATGGGTGTATAGACAAACAATCCCTTTATATTTTACCTTAAACCTGCTTAGTTGACACGGACTTAGACATTATAACATTACAGGAGGACCTGGATAAAATAGGGGAGTGGGCATTAATGTGGCAGATGAGGTTTAATGTCGATAAATGCAAAGTAATGCACTTTGGAATTAAAAATAAACAAATGGGTTATACAATTATGGGTATGCCGCTAGGGAAGTCAGAAATGGAGAAGGATTTGGGGGTCATTGTAGACCACAAACTGAAAGGTAGTTTGCAGTGCCAGGCTGCTGTAAACAAAGCTAGCAGGGTCTTGTCCTGTATTAAAAAGGGGATGTATTGCAGGGACAAGTCTATAATTTTGCCACTTTATAGATCATTGGTTCGACCTCATCTGGAGTACGCGGTCCAGTTCTGGTCACCAGTACTAAGAAAAGATGTCCTTGAGTTGGAAAAAGTCCAGCGGAGGGCAACCAAACTAATTAGGGGTATGGAGGACCAGAGCTACGAGACAAGGCTACTAAATTTAAACATGTTCACATTGGAGGTGAGGAGATTAAGGGGGGATATGATCTCTATGTACAAAATGTTCAATGGTGGTAGCAACATTAGCGATAAACTGTTTAAAATTAACTCCATTACAAAAACTAGAGGCCACCACCTAAAATTGGTGGAAAAAAAATTCCAGCACAAGGGGCGAAGGGGGTTCTTCACAGTAAGATCAGTTAGGGTCTGGAACTCACTGCCACAGGCGGTGATTTCAGCAAAGAATGTGGAATTGTTCAAGAAACTTTTGGACGATTTCTTAAGGGACCGTAATATACAGGGGTACAGGTACTCCTAGAACTCCTAATAGGTTGGACTTGATGGACTAATGTCTTTATTCAACCTCAAATACTATGTAACTATGTAACTATGTAACTGACCGATTTAATTGATACCAATGATTCTCATTATCGATTAGTTGGTCTGGATCCCCAGCTTCTTCCAGAGAAGGGGGTCTGTGTGCCCTCCCCTGATGCCCGGAGGGGACACAGACCCCTGCAGCCGGTGCCCAGGGGTGAGGAGAGCTCCCCCCGCCACATCAGCTCTGCTCCCACCGCTCTGCAGCTCTCTTCTCCCCACTAGCAGCGCACTGCATGCAGCGGCCTGTGTCCCCTCCAATTCCGCTGCCTCTGCCAATACAGGCGAGGGAGAGCAGCGGGTTTGGAGGGGACACAGAGCTGATCCACCTGCCGGCGGCCGAGTACTGATCACTGCGAAGTTTGAATATTACAGGGAACAATCAGCAGAATTTTTTTATATATTTGCTGATCGTCTCGCAGCTCTGCAGCACCCCACTTCTGACTTGGCCCTGTCACTGCTATCGCTGATCACTATGATGTTTGTACATAACTGAGGACATAGTATTCAGATACGGTGTCCCCAATTATGAATGAACAGGAAGTGCTCTACATTACTTCCTGTTCATTCACGATTATGGATATAGTATCTGTTTACCAACGCCTCAATTTTTGAATGAACAGGAAGCCTCTGTACTGAGTGCTTCCTGTTTATTCATGAGTTTCCTGTTTCCTGAGTGCTGGGGCTGCAGAAAAAGAAACTGAGGAATCTGTGTCCTCAAATTTCTTTTATTTTTTTCAAAAGGGAAATATGAGGGGTCTGTTTAGACCCGATATTTCCCTAAAGGCCCTAACAGTAAAGTTAAAAAAAGAAAAGAAAAAAATATAGCACAAAAAATAAAAGAAATAAAGCCACACCCCTAGGACCCCCCTCGCCCCGTTATAAAAAAAAATATTAAAAAGCCATTTTCGGTTTCAGCCTGACACATTCTGGGGCAGGAATTGCGTTGCGGTGCCATTCATTTCAATGCCACTCCAATTGTGCTACCCATCCACAGTGCAATCGCACGCAACGGAATGTTTGGTACCGCAATGTCGTGCGTTCACATTGCAAAAAATTGTGCATGCAGTTTTATTCTGAAGTAAACTTTATGTTTGTAACACTCCATTTGTATATTTTATTTTAAATTAAGGATGGTATTTAATTTTTTTTCCGACTAATCGTGAGAATAATAGGCCAACTAATCGATTATGAAAATAATCGTTAGTTGCAGCCACAGCTCTTAACATATCACTTAGAAAATAAATGTCTGGCACATGACAAATCTTTATTTTTTAATTTTTTAGAGAGTTTCAAAATTGCTCAGAGATCATTCCAAATTTGAGTACCAATTCTCATAATCAGCAGCAGGGGTGAGCATCTGTACAAAGTGCCAATATACACCGATCAGCAAAAACATTATAGAGAGGTGAGTGAATAACATTGATTATCTCGTAACAATGGCACCTGGAAGTGGGAGGGATATATTAGAAAGAAAGTGAACACTTTGTCCCTGGAGTTGATAAGTTGGAAGCAGAAAAAACAGGCAAGCATGGATTTGAGCAACTGTCAAATTTATGATGGCTAGACGAGTGGGTCAGAGCAAGTAAAAAACTGCAGCTTTTGTGGGATGTTCATTCCCGGTCTGCAGTGGTCAAGACCTACCAAAAGTGGTCCAAGAAAGGAAAACCGATGAACCAACTACAGGGTCATAGTAGCTCCACATCAGTCTTGATGAAGAGAAAGGTGTGTACTACAAAAACAAAAGAGCAGAGTGCACCCAATGCAGTACAGCAAGTTACCTCAATAGACAGCACCTAAAATTACCATAAAATGAACTTAAATACACTATATTGCCAAAGGTATTGGGACGCCTGCCTTTACACGCACATGAACTTTAATGGCATCCCAGTCTTGGTCCGTAGGGTTCAATATTGAGTTGGTCCACCTATTGCAGCTATAACAGCTTCAACTCTTCTGGGAAGGCTGTCTACAAGGTTTAGGAGTGTGTCTATGGGAATGTTTGACCATTCTTCCAGAAGCGCAATTGTGAGGTCAGGTACTGATGTTGGACAAGAAGGCCTGGCTAGCAGTTTCCGCTCTAATTCATCCCAAAGGTGTTCTATCTGGTTGAGGTCAGGACTCTGCGCAGGCCAGTCAAGTTCCTCCACCCCAAATTCACTCATCCATGTCTTTATGAACCTTGCTTTGTGCACTGGTGCGCAGTCATGTTGGAACAGGAAGGGGCCATCCCCAAACTGTTCCCACAAAGTTGGGAGCATGAAATTGTCAAAAATGTCTTGGTATGCTGATGCCTTAAGAGTTCCCTTCACTGGAACTAAGGGGCCAAGCCCAACCCCTGAAAAACAACCCCACACCATAATCCCCCCTCCACCAAACTTTACACTTGGCACAATGCAGTCAGGCAAGTACCTTTCTCCCGGCAACTGCCAAACCCAGACACGTCCATCGGATTGCCAGACAGAGAAGCGTGATTCGTCACTCTAGAGAACATGTCTCCACTTCTCTAGAGTCCAGTGGTGGTGTGCTTTACACTACTGCATCTGACGCTTTGCATTGCACTTGGTGATGTAAGGCTTGGATGCAGCTGCTCGGCCATGGAAACCAATTCCATGAAGCTCTCTACGCACTGTTGTGCCAATCTGAAGGCCACACAAAGTTTGGAGATCTGTAGCTATTGACTCTGCAGACAGTTGGCGACTTCAGCATGTGCTGACCCCGCTCTGTCATTGTACGTGGCCTACCACTTTGTGGCTGAGTTGCTGTTGTTCCCAGTTGCTACCACTTTGTTATAATATCACTAACAGTTGATTGTGGAACATTTAGTAGCAAGGAAATTTCACGGACGGACTTATTGCACAGGTGACAACCTATCACGGTACCACGCTTGAATTCAATAAGCTCCTGAGAGCGACCCGTTCTTTCACAAATGTTTGTAGAAGCAGTCTGCATGCCTAGGTGCTTGATTGTATACACCTGTGGTCATGGAGGTGATTGGAACACCTGAATTCAATGATTTGGAGGGTTGTCCCAATACTTTTAGCAATATAGTGTATCTGTGGGTACAATGGCCTTATCAACATATCCAGATTTGCAAGATTTAAGTCATTCCAACGCGAGGCTGATTATGTCACTAAGAGTAGTGCTGGTGAACTCAAACTACTCAACACCAATTGGTCTATTAAATGGCTTGCTATGGCTTACTGGATGACTGCAAGCTGAAGAATTCTAACTTTGCCCACTGGCCACCAACTGATTTTGGGACAGCTGTCTCTTCATCAGACTCGAAGGGACACATGGCCCAACGTGCATAATGAGCTGCAGTACAAGCCTCGAATCAAAGCTCTTTAGTTGATATTTGCATTCATAAATTCTCGTTTACGGTTACTGAGAGAATTGATCTTGAAGTCAAAAGAACTAAATTCTTGAAACTTGGGATATGTTGGTAAGTTTCCCATGGGTTTGTAAGCGCATTTTTTTATCACTTGCTGCACAATCTATTAAGTGAAACTCCGGACAAAACAGCAATACACAGTTGAAATACGTTTACCAACAAAGGTTTTATCGAACACAGTTGGCAGAAGTACTTCTTTCTGGAATGATATGACCCACTAAAACCTCAGACGTGTATTACCAGAGGTCACACTAAACTGGCAGCTTATAATAAGCAGTAAGTTGAATTAGGAAAATGCTGGGCACCTAGAAACAAAGCACATGTAACAAACTATACCTAGTAAATGGTGTTCTCTCCATTACTCACCATGGTTTATCTCTTGACACTTTAGAAGGGAACACTGTGTGTTGTTTGTTGTTGGAGGTAAGTAGATTGTCTTTGGGCGCTTTGAATGGCTTTGAGTTACTGCTGACAGGGTTATGGCTGCTCATACAGGTTTTCGGTTTCATCTGTACGTGTGATGCTCTGTTGGAGTTGGAAGGAGGAGAAGCCGGAGATGGGGAAGGTTTGCACATTGAGCCGTGTCTTCTTTCTGTAAAGGATAATACAATTTTTCAAATGTGGTTCACCAAACTACCACAGCCAGGCAGGTTAATACATAGATGAAATGCCCACAGAATTATTTTGTATAGTAATGTAGACATTCTTGTAATTCAGCCACCATGGCTCCACTTGGTGACCAATATGAAAGGTGGTAATAATTTTCAAAGCCTGCAATTCTGCATTCGGTCACTTGCCTGATTCCTGTATGCTCTCTAAAATACTAGTGAACCTCACCAAAACAGTACTGCCTCAACTTTCTCCCTTCCAAAGCACACCAAGTACCACTCTTCCTACCACGCAGCTTACACATTAGAAACTCCCGCTCCGTGCCTGATTTTAATATTTAGCTAGCAAGCAGCATGTCATGTATGTACACTAATGTGAACTGACGTAATTTGTAAAATTGCCTGAAATTGTAAATATAGTATACTTTTTTCAGTACCTCAAATAAATTATCTGTAAGAGTATGGACTGTTTACAATGGAGAATACTGCAGGTACAGATCGGATATAAATGTTCTTTGCACTGCTGAGCTTCATTACTACACCAAATCCACAACCAGATATCACCTTAGATTGACAAGTACATAGAGAACCGCTCTAGGAGGTCAGCCACTTATAGTACTTGATGATGAACGGATTATACAGCCCTGTGCGAGGTGGGTAAATAACATGACAGGTTGAGCCGAATGGATTCATTCACTCTGGCCAACTAAGAGCAGTTATAAGGTCCCTCCTGTCACTCTTGCATTAATCATAAACTGATCTTTAAAAATAGAAGACTTTTCCAATTCTGATGAAATGAGATGCTGAAAGTAGCACCTAACGAACAAGGATCAGCAATGAAAACAGTGAGGGAAACCACACAAATAACTATAAGAACTAGCAAGGAACCTTGCAAAATATAATGGACCTCATTTATCGTACTGTCTGAAAAAAGAGTTATGTGTGCAACTTATAGTACCAAAGCTTCCCTTTCTGACCTTAAAGTGAATTTCCTCTTTTACAGCCAAGTTGGCATAACACCTACTTTATATTTAGTACATATTCTCTTTCACATAGCATAACATATTTACAAATTGCTTCTAACATTTTAAGTGCTTTTTACTTGCTTACAAATTAGGGCTGCAACCAACTTATCGATTAATCAATAATAATTGATTATGAGAATAGTTGTCAACTCTTCTCACTATTGATTAGTTGGTTGGATCCCCTAGCTCTCTCTCCTCCATGCTGGGAGGAGGGCACAGCAAGCAGTGGGCGGGTGCAATAGCAAGCCTGTTATTGGCTATTGCAATTTGAAATGGCCAATAGCAGGCTGGCTATTGCACCAGCTCACTACCTGTGTATTTGCATTCAGCTGCCATCTGCAGAATGCTGCAACTGGCAGCTGTCATTCCCTGGTTGAAGCTATTCAAGTGCCATGTGATACAATACAATTATTTTGGCCTGACAAATTCTGCTGCGGGATGTGCGGTGCAGAGCCATTCATTTCAATGTCACCCCAAACACCCAGTGTGATTGCCCGCGATGCGTTCCTGTGCAGTGCGATTGCAAAAAATTGTGCATGCAGTTTTATTCTGAAGTCAACTTTATGTTTGTAACACTGCATTTGTGTATTTTATTTTAAATTAAGGATGGCATTACATTTTTTTAATCCGATTAATTGAAAAAATAAAATGGGCCAACTAATCGATTATGAAAATAATCATCACGGGCAGGGCCCTTCTTACCACCTTGTCTTGAATTGTATTGTGATTGTAATGTCTTCCTTATATTGTAAAGCATTGCACAAACTGTTGGCACATATATAAATCCTGTATAATAATAATAGTTGCAGCCCTATTAAAAATCCTACCTAGCTTCTCCCTATGCAATGTTAAGGAGGGCGAGGTGGAAAGTTATGATTACTTTAATTAACCCCGTCTGTACTGGGCTGTCATAATTCATTATCAGTTGTAAACTAAATATAAACACTGTCAAAACAAAAGGTTAAAGGAAAACTATGAGGTGAGTGATTTCCACTCATCCTCATAGTTAGGGCCGACCTGTGACAAAGAAGCTGTCATAGGTCGGCTCTATAGATCGGAAAGTGAGCAGAAACATGCACCATACATTACCCCATAGTTCCCTTTAAAGACTTAGAAGCACTGTTTGTTAATACGAGCAAGCTCAGCCTGTCCCTCAGTTTGTCCCTTCACTTTCACTCTCAAACTGCTCAAAGTAGAAAGTTGGAATCTGCACTAAGGCCTCAAAGATAAGAAATATATTTTTTAAATTATTTTAGGTATGCTATGTGAATAGTACCACATAAAACATATAGTGGGATTTTCTCAAAACTGAGTGCGAAAAATGGAAAAAAACTTTTAAGTGCAGTTTTTAAAATAAAAATGTGACTCGTTGCTTTGGGCAGCTAATAGCTCCAAATTTATTTTGATCAATAACCCATATAATTAACAATAAATGTCCACCACCAGTCTTCGGTTTGAAGACATCACTGTTGTTACAGCGAAACATTGCTACCATTTGTAACAAAGACAAACAGGTTACCAAAAAACGAAAACTGAATACAACTCAACTGTTTCAAGCTAGGCATACATGGTTAGAATTTTGTTAAAACATTTTTTTTCCAGAATGTTCATTCAATAATAGTTAATAGGGACAAATTGATGATAGATTTTGTCCAGACTGATAAAAAAAATTAAAGGAGGAGGATGGAATTTTTTCCCATTAGTGACTGCTACTTAGTGACTGTTCTAAAAGGCACACTGATGAATGGGCCATTTGAGAGCGTCCAGCTATCATGCTACAAATATGACTATTTACAATGGCAAATGGCTTAAAAAATGCATGCAAGTTGTTAGCCATTGTTGGTCAGATTAGCCATGATCTGACCACTGTTGGTCAGATCATGCAGCAATTTAATGCTTATGAGCAGCAGCAGATACTGCCCGACACCCACAGCTAACGATCTTGGAGGAACACAACACAATCGCTCCTGTTTGAACATTGTTTCCCGCTAAATAAACTGGTGATACAGGTGTGTGGCCACAGCTTTCCCTCTTGTCTGCCTTCAAAGAATAGGTATCCATGCTTGGTCAAATCAAGTGTGAATGTTCATGTAGCCACCAGCAGACAGACAAACCTGTAGGCAGTTAGAACCTGCTTGCATGTCTGACTGCTCTAATATTTATAGTTGGACTTATAGTTGGACTTAGTTGGACTTGGACTTAGTTGGAATATTTATAGTTGGACTATAGTTGGACTTAGTTGGGTTACAAATAAAAGATACACAGACAGTCTAGATTGAATGATACAGACAGAAACCATCATATAGATCTTGTCTTTGCAGCTGTTATCTTCCTAATCTTTGACATCACAATGTGAATTATTTCCCGTTACTGAAGGCCAGTGAACAAAGAAAAAAAATCAACATCTTACAGCGATATGAGAGATAGCAGCATTCCCTATACTATGGTTACACTGCTACCGTTACAAGTAACACATGTGGCAAAGGAAAATCCCTTTAGAGATAAAATAGCAAATGTTTGTCACTTTCAAGTTGAAGGTGCTGTCCCTGGGCATCAGAATGTGCCAAGGCAGAAGCTTGAAAGATCTAAACTAGGCTGTAACAGTCTGTAGGCCACAGCTACTAAATAGAGGCCCAAGTTTTAAATAACTAAAGCTACCTTTAAAAATGTATCTAATAGGAACACATTTTCAGTATGTTTAGACAAGAGAAAGAGTGCTCCCAGAAATCACATCTGCAGATAGGAGATATGTACAAATAAAAGGAGAAAGGAGATGCCAGACAGGAAGTATAAAGAGTAGTCATCAACCAACAAGTGGCTTAAAGTCCATTTCCACCTTTGTAAGTGACTAGTATTTATTGCGGTAATGAAGAGATGCAGTGATGATGTATACATGTGCACATTTTCATGACTCACATTTTAAAGAATATTTAAAGAATATCTTATTAGCCTAAAAATTTAAAATTTTCTCTACAGGAAAATCAGTCAGACACCAGGGTCGGATAATAATTTGGCTTTAAGCAGCTCTCCCCCTCCCTGTTATTCCTTGTAACATGATCAGTGAACAGCAGCTCTGCCTTTGCACACAATATACTGCCTTGGGAGTGGGGCTGCCACTCTGAATACTAATGAATAAGAAGAGGTGATAAGGAGCTTGCAGAACACAGGCAGACATTTTTACTAAGATGCACCGGTGCCGATACTGAGGATTTGGGTGAGTACTCGTAATCGCTAAATGCACCCGATGCCTATCCCAAAACTTCTCCAGGGGGCATGGAGGTGGCTTCCCAGCCAATCAGGAACCCGGAGGGGGGATGACTCGCCCCGGCTTCCTTAATGGCCAGGAAGCGGTCTCCATGCTCCCTCATCACTTGGTCGGAAAGCAGGCTCCATGCATGGAGTCGGCTTCCCTGCTAATTGGGAAGCTGGGTGACAAATCGTTACATGCCGCCTGGCTTCCTTAATAGGACTTCCGGTATCGGTGAGTACCGGAAAAAAAAATATTGGTACTCGGAAGAAAAAAAACGGCATCAGTGCATCCCTAATTTTTACATAAGTATATGAAGAGGAAAGCTAACAAAAAAAGTAAGTTTGTGGATTCAAAAACAGCAGCTGCATATGACTGTTATATCTACACTCCGAATACATTGCTGGCATGTGTTTTTTAAAAATACCTCTGCAAAGGTGGAAATTGGCTTTAAGTGCCACATGTGAAGCTGGGCTCACTTTGCTTTTGAATGTAGGTTTCTTACTGCTATTGTTCACCTTTAAAAATTATTTGTCTTGAGTAATACAAACAAAAAAGTTCTGCTACAATTTTCCCTTCTTCCTAATAAAAGCCAGAAAGCAGTTGAAGACGGTCTCTGGTCATGGAGATATCCAGTCAATGACCATATGCCAATCTTGTAAAAACCAGTAGAACACACAACACCCTTAGCCTCATTCATATACAACATTAA